TCGATTTGGCACTGAGATATGCAACTTTGTGGATGACTCAAAAACTTCGTCGTATTACCACTGTCAGCTGTTCAAATTTAGTTGCATGGAATATGCTGGTACGACGACTCACTTCATGAGTGAATACTGAATTGTGAACATAAAATGAAAATGACTGGCAATGTAGAACGGAAAAGAATGCACGAAAATGAACAGAAACAAGATTTTATACGAATGAAACTAAAAATGCGCAGAGATGCGCAAAGTTGCGATTAAAATTCAGATAAACAGTCATATTGCACATCATCAGCACTGATTCACAATCGTCATCGTCGTTGTATTCGATTTTTAAAAAAATCTGCAAAATAATCCGCATCCAACGAATTTTATTATAATGAATCGATAAGAATGAGAGAAACATATGGAAATCTAATAAGCACAGACGGAAACTTTGTATCGGTTTAACATGAAGCAGTGTAAGTGTTCATAGTGATGAAGACGCAAAATATAAGAGAACGATGGAATTTGAGAACGATCGTTTGAGAGATTTTCGAGGAATCTCGTGATGAAGCAATAAAACAAGCAGTGAAGCGTTATTGAATACGCAAACATCGTATTCAAAATATGTTTGTAGAGCGCACAGGCGTAAATTTACACTGATATGGCAAAAAGCACTGATTTTATCAGTGGAAAAATACTGATATTATCAGTGGAGCAATAACCGTAACCTAATAGTGACGACAACAATAATAATGAGGATGGCAGTGATAATCTTAACAATCATATCAATAATAATAAGCAATAGCTATAACTCTATGAGCAATTTTTTCTTTTTCAAGTGAGACAGCCAATTAACAATTTAGTGCTACTTGAGTTACAATTGCTTGATAAATATGGAATGAATGATTTCGAACAGTTGAAGTGAATAAATCTAAAACGTTCGAAAATCAACTATTATCAAATTCTAATCATTGCAAATGGATAATTGAATAAATGATGGATTGATTTTCCGTTGATTCATTTCACAACTGAATGCATCAATTGATTGTAATTATAATCAGCTGCTCAAACATGAAGTCTGTGAGGAAAAACAAACGATCTATTAATCTTCTTAGATAACAAAAGTGTAAAAGATAACAAATGAACAGTCATATATCTGATGAGGCAGGTTTCTTTCTAAATGGATGGTTCAAGATTTTTTCATCGCACTTGCCGAAAAATGAAATATCTTCAAGAAGGAGCGGGATATGTTTTGCAAGATTATTCACAAATCCTTCATTGAATTATTGATTCAGTATTGGACATTCGCATAGAAACAAAGCCAAATAATTGCAAGCAATTCATTTGGGCAATCAACTTTCAGCCACAAAATTTTGCTTCCATATCAAAATCGCGCTGAATAATCAAAATCAATTTCTGAGATATGCGAATTCCGTGGCAGACAACCTATTGAATCATGCCAACATTTTGCTATTCACAAAAGGATTTTTGAAATATAACTGATTGTGAGCGAACTTCATAACTGAATTAGGCCGAAGACAACGAATGAGATCGCTTGTGAACAACTGATCAGCGTTTGATCAGTCGAAACTATAGAAGACTCATGCTTGGAATCCGAAAAAAATGATAACGATTGTGGACATATTTAAATACGAATCAACGCTGAACTCGGACTGCACGAAAGGCACTGGTTTAGTGTTCGCTTTGGAATGGAGTATTTATAGACGATAACCTTGAGCATGTATCTTTTATCGTCATTTAGTCGCCATAAAAATGACAAAACCTTTCAAAGTCATACTTCTTAATGAACCCTTTAAAATAATTCCCTAAAATCATTCCCTTTAAAATAACAATGCACAACTGAAATAAACAGATCGCTAACACCAAAAGTTGTTCTTAGCGAACCATAGCACTTTGATTCATCGAATAAATAAGCAGTGCAAAATAATTCATAAACTACAAAGGAAAAATCAGTTCCAAAGCAATAAACACTTTGAATGAATAGCATTCAACGAGGAACATCATTACCCCATGGCGATAGATGGAAGAGAGAGGCAACGCATGAAATCTGAAAAAAACAAACGCAAAAAACACGTTTTATTGCATAATGATGCACCTCTACAAACAACGTCGAATAACGATAAAGTTGTCAACAACACGACAAGGGACAATCAACAACGGTGATTCAAAAACGGCGAATCATAGAGGGCAGGTAATCGATAAAGGTAAAATCGAAAACGACAAATACAATTGCGAGAGATGGCTGCGCTGAACGGTAATACGAATTCAGTTCGTTTGAAAAGTGTTAGCATCAATGGAGAGAAAGAGTTGAGGTCATCGAGCACGAAACAAAAAAGACGAAGACTGAATGGAGATGGATAATCTCACAATCAGATAATCCTTCCCCTTGTGAAAATCTTTTCATGAACGAGATTTGCATCTGAAGAACATTGCAAAACGTGATAATTCGAAACTTGCNAAAAAAATGGAAACCTTGACTGATCTGAACGACGAAATCACATATTGATTACTAGATAAGGGGCAATAGAAATCATTTTGCAATAAGCGCATATTCAAGCGAGTCTACCCAAACTCGCATGTGACGGCTTTGAATAAAGCTTTAAAGGGATGAATGATCGAACTACCTACATGCAGTCAGAATGATGCAACTGACATGATAATTAGACAGCAGTGCTGATAAGACCATAACACATTACTGTGATAAAGTGATAGCGTGTGTTACTATGCAGTAACACCATGCGATAGATATCATGTTATGATTAACAGTGCTTGAGATATAAACATAACGCTGTTTTGCTTCTCATCAGCGCAGACCTCATCACATTTGCAACGATGTTCAAATACGATGCTCTTCTGCATCATTACGTCGATAACGAGCAGCAAAATTGCTTTGAACATTCAGTTTCTCTACATTCCATGACTATTCTAAGCACACACAACCGAATACAAACGAATACATTCTCAACAATATCACATGCTTCTATCGTCAAAAACACGAAAAATACAGTCTGTTTTAGGAATGAATAACATCTGACAAATAAATCGATAGATGGAAACGAGGATGAATTTGACATGAATTGTGAAAGAAAAGGATACATTTCATGCGATGCGATTTTAAAAAATTAAACATAGAGCAAACTTTATTTGTATTGATTGAAGCGTTTCTAGAAGTAGAGGTATTAGATGGTATCAAATTATGTGTGCTTGAGGAATATCTTCGAATCATCACGCACCCACACACATCCTCGCATCGTATCGATCAAGTTGGAGTTGCAAATGGCCTTTGCTACTTGTGCAGGAGAAAATGCGTCAAAATTTGAGAATTCTGAGAATTTATATTCTCGCAACAAATTGTTTCTCCATAACACTGGCTGATGACTGTGCGATTGAGCTAACATGACATGTCCTTACGATGGATTACATCTCTCAGTAAACAGAGTTCAATTGCAATGACAATTGTGTATGCATATCTGTGGCTTTCAAGTGACAATCCGTCATCCACACTGCATGCTTCATATTGTTTCATTTTTCGCATTACTACAAAAAATAACCTTGTTTGCGCTCAGATAGAACTCAATGACTTAGAGCTACACACATATGAAACAACAATGCTCAACTGCGCCGTGAGTTTTATCCATAACGTTCTGCGCCGTTTTTCTACCATATCGAACAAAATTGGGTGGATGGCTTGCGAATTTCGATGCTCACCAATAGGGTATTCGGTTGCTGGCCACAGAAAAAAATTTGATGGTTCTCAGCTGTGACATCAAGCATGATTTGTCGTGACTAGAATCGATATGTTTGCAGGGAATCTTTTTTTTCGTAAACGAAGACACTGCATTTCAANCATGAATTTATTTCCAATGCGCCAAGATGCTGAGCTTTTATAAGTCAATTTTATCGTACACTTAGTTTGAGGAGAACATGTAACGCTGATGAGAATTTTGGTTTTCAGAATTGCTCGAAAAAGAAGTATTACATTCATTAGTGTTCATCTTCATTGAGCCAATTGCACTGACTTCGAGGTACAAGCTTTACAGGGTAAGAATACCTTCAGGTCAAATCAGTAAGGTGACGAGTCTCAATGCTCTGCTTATCCGACATGTTGTCTAGTGCTCGAGAAGTAATTATATTCCTGATCGAAAAATTGAATTGAGATAGATCTAAGAAAATGGCTGTATCTCCTTAGGAAATCAAAATCGCTCAGCAACATATATATTTTTCTGAATGCAGAGACCCAGCTGGATCGAATGATGCAAAAAAATTCATATCATACGGGGCAAACTTGAGCATACGGTAGCCTTGAAGATGACACCCGAGTTTCACTTTTGCATTAATAACAACCACCCGAGTGCCTCATTTACAGTTGCAAGATTTTTCAGGTGTGAAAGCTACGTTCCCATCATATTTTCGAGTTCCTGCTCGGAAATGTTTTCTCCAGTCGATTCAGTGTACAATCCGATGTATTTCCCAGTCATGCCCGACGGGCATTGGGCAAAGCATGGATAATGCACGTGACTGAAGTGTGGCGAAGTGTCCACAGTTATTATTACGTCATCTGGAAATGTCATCGTCGTGTTGCTCTTTGATGTATTAAATTTCCATTGTGCTTAATGAAAATCTCTTGAATTTTCGGATGGGAGGGCGTGATTTTGGTGATAAAAGAATATTCTGGAACGGATTCCGGTTTGGTATATGTATGGGAGGGTGCCGACTCATGAATTATTGTTGTTGTTGGCTTGTGGAGTTGGGGTGGTTTATACACTGATGTACGTATATGTTTATTGGACGACTTTTTGTTATCGATAAATTGTCTGTCTCGAATGATTAATTTGCATTTAGTGTGTTGTGAAATTTAGATTCGGTTTATTGCGCAATTCTGTCATTATAAGTATTGCATAATTGTTTTAGCAACTCATTTTGACGACTAGCGATTGATTTTATCGTGCGTGATCCAGTTTATTTTGTTTAGAGATTACTACTGACCGGTGACCGTTAAAATGGCTGAATTCCCTGGTTTGGGACGTCATTGCAGTTTTGCCGAATGTCATTTACTTGGTAAGCAATTCTTCTTTATTTCTTTATTGTTTTATCTTATTGAATTTGATTCTATTGTAAAGCATCAGCTCGGTGAGAGTAGATCTCATGAAATCATAAAGGATAATTCATTGAATACAGAGGCAGACCTTCGTGTTAGTGGCCAAACTGAAATTGTAATCATATTTCAGACTTTCTCCCGGTACGTTGTGACGCATGCTCAAAAGACTTCTGCGCCACTCATTATCCTTACGATAGTCATCGTTGTGATTCTTCCTATAAGAAGGTGAATCAATTTTTGCATCTGTAGTTTTTTTATAGACCGATTCTTCAAAGAGTTCTTTTTTCATTTATTTATAATTTTCAATTTAACAACGTCGTTTCCAGGATGTACAAGTTCCGGTCTGTCCACTGTGCGGTAAACCAGTCCCTGTGGCTCGTGGTGAACTACCGGATGAGCGTGTAGGTCAACATATCGATGCAGATTGTAAATCTGATCCGGCACTGGCAAGTAAGGGTCGAATTTATACGAATCGTTGCTCGATGCACGGTTGCAAAAAACGAGAAGTTGGTATTGGAATGTATATTCTCAGTCCTTATCTCTGTATTCACAATTCCCTTAGACCTTAGAAGACTCATCGAATAATGAGTTTTCGAATAAGCACAGATTGCATTCCCGTCAGCAGTGAATTCGGATGGCTTTCATGCAGCTCTTTGAGAATAGCTTCAGAATTTTGTTGCAGTTAGGTTTTAAAACCTAGACATCAGTGCATGAAATACCATTCATTCGACACCAATTCTTTCTGGTGCAGACATCAATACATTATTTTCAGTTGATTCCAATCCAGTGTAAAGAGTGTGGAATGAATTTCTGTGTGAAACATCGTTTCCCGGCAGATCATGACTGTGAATTGAATCGTGCAAACATCCAAGCCAGCAATGGACAATCATTCTCGCAAGCAGCCAAATCGGCGATTGCACGTCAGATGAAACAATTGCAGCAAAAACAACGTTCCTTCATGGGATCAATGACCGCTAAGCCTGAACAACAACAACAAGCACAAGCCTTACCAACCCAATCATCCTCATTGAATGGCTTCAGCAATGGGTCGTTATCGGAAGATGAAGCATTAGCGCGTGCTCTGCAAGCGTCACTCAACGATATCCCATCTTCTGAGACACCACAATTGACCACAGAGGAGATTGACGCAGCGTTGGCTGAGCAACTGCAGCGCAACGAATACGTGTATGCTCTTAAAATTAGTGTTCGAATTTGATCTGTTTAGTGGCAGCACTTGATAGAGATGTGGGGATCGTTTCAGTCGTTTGCGGTGTAACTTTTGTTCTTTTTTCACTCATTTAGCAAACTCTGGGCTTAAGGAGCGTTAGGAACTTACAGATCTTACTGAAAGGGGTTAGATTTCGTAATCGAGNNNNTTTTCAGCAATCAGCGCCAAGCACAACGTGTAAACGGTGGATCGTCATCTTGGAATGAGCGATGTGCTCTTTCTTAGTACGATGTATCTTTAGTAACTTATGTGCTCATTTATTTACCTATTTAATCGCACTTTCATTTGTATGTTTTGACGATCAACACTTCAGTATTCTGTTTTCTATCATTTTCGTTGTTTTTACGTTTGAGTTGAGTGATTCATCTGAACTTTTTCCATCTGTATACGTGTGCAAAATCCTCTTGCATTAGTTGATGTGCGCGAGTGAGAAGAAAATTCTATAAGATCATTCGGCATATTGACGAGAATATTTGATCGAATCTGAATGGTCTTCTCGGTTTTAGGCATGCGTTCATCTTTATTTTTAACTTGATTTTATATGCTGTCAATTGTAGCGACTCGTTTGTATCGACATTTGAATTGACTCATTATGTGCATTAATCTGTATGTTTGGTCGATGAAGTTGGAATGGTTTGTGATTATTTGTAAGTAACTCAACTTCGAAAGAATTATCCTCGGTAGGAGGGTTCTTCAATTATCCTTCCACCGTTCACGATGATTTCATCTAATCCGTCTGATTTAAATATTTTGATCAATCATATCAACACTTCTTTATGGTTTGCTTCGCTTGCCTTGTCTATGTTTTGGGCCATATTTCTCATCTTAACCTCAACATCTTTGTCGGTTCGTCGTGTTTGTACTGATTGTGTTCATATTGAGACCATTCCGTGTTGATTTTCACATGTGATGTTTTATTACGATTTATTGATTTTGGCTTCTCTTTATGACATGCTTATGAATCGACGGTAGAAATTTTGAATTGGCATACAGCCGTTAGGTCAACTCTGGTTTTTTTTTNTTTTTTTTTCATGATAATGCACCAAAAAGGAGTTTGAAACTGTTGCTTGTCTAAAAATTTGTATCCTGAAAATGAAAGAATTGACTCAGAACTATGTCCATCGTACTCTACTATCCAGTTAACGTTACCAGGGATTTGGGAGGATTTGTTTTTGAAGAAATAAGCATGTGCTAAAAGTTGTGTCATCATTGTCCACTCATCCCTAACCGTTATCGCCTTGTATACCTTCTGTAGCAGTGCTATATTATGTGACATGTATGTGTACTTTTAGGAACAAATAAAGAATTATTTTCACAAAGCGATTAATTCGTTCTTGCATTCATCTAAACACCCGCATAAATCTGAACTGAAACTTCTGACAAAATTGAAGCAAACCAGAAAGCACCATTTTATAAATATTCACGTATTCATACCACTTAAAAGCAATTATAGAATCAGAAAAGTTCAATGCTATTGATTTCTCAGTGTCAGTATTCCTATAAATTTAAGCGAGTTACAGGTGGCGTGAATTGTTGTTCGTTTCTGTGTTCTTAAATGAAAATCAGTTCATCAAACCACTTCAAAACAGCATAGAATTGAAGCTTTTTATAGAGGGGAGGGAGTACTTGATGTGAGTGAAAAGGCGATCGTGTCAAAAGGCGATTTGTACCGTTGACCACTTCTAGAATACGTTGTCCATTTTTACGACTTCTGCACAGTTGAAAATATTCTCAAGGTCAGTCTTATTTTATTGACTGACACCTTTTATAAGAAAGAATTGCTACATATATTAAAGATTTGTTACATTTCATTTTATGTGTTAAACAAATGGCATTTTGGAATTGTTTGATTCATGAAACCGTTCTGATAATCGCGTTTGTCATTGTCTGGTGTAGTTTTAGTGAAATTTTCTGTTACATTGAGAAGGATCGAAATTTCTCGTGTTTTTCAGAATTTCTCCGATTAACTTCTTGAGTTTGATGGGATTTTCCGACAAATGAAAAACATCAACAGTCGATAGTAATCGGAAAATATTAAAAGCCTAGAGTACTGAGAATGCCTTAGAAGTAGGGATTTCCACGAATGAACTGAATTTTCAAAAACATCAGAGTCTGCATAAATGAAAAAATATTAATTTCTCAGGCGTTTAACATGTGAAGGTTAAATTCATCAATTTTATCAGAAGTAATCGTTGTTTCGCACTTAACAACTATAAAGATGATCAAGAAAGAGATCACTCATATCTCGCACTACCAACAAGTAATTTTCAATTACAAATCAAAAACCTTCAAAATTCTTTTCATATTCTCGTCTAAGAACGCATTCAACAAAGAATTACTCTCTTATATCGAACGAATTATTACTTACTGCAATATTTGTATTCGATTGGCATTATGATATTTGCTCAACGTATACATTACATATGAGATATTACAATGAATCAACTTTATAACAACAAAAAGTTTTAAATTGGCACATTTAGTATTCACTTCTGCTGAATGGAATCGTTCACAAGTACCAACTGAATGTCATCCACTGGGTCACACTCACGTTTTCATTAAGAAGCGTTCTGTGATTCGATCGTCTCAAGAGATCACGCTGCAGATTTGTTACGGTGCTGAAAATAGTAACATCATACAATATTTATATCACTTCTATTACTTTTTCCATTATCATCCCCTTCCTCCATCACGTTATCAGAATGATTGACTTATCAAGTTCTTGTCACTTCTTCAATGAAGTTTTCAACAGTTTGTTAAAATTCGTTGTGCGATATCGTCGTCCCGAAGTCAGTTATTCAACATCGCGAACTTTAATGCGCCGTCGATTCTATCGCGTTGCAATGAAGTGGTTTCGCATAAGATCCGTGCTACTGTCATACTGCTAAAATAAGTGTACAAGAAGAAAAATTTTAGCATTGAGATGTGTGGCCCTCTATTCACTCCACCGATGTGTCCAATGCTTGGGGCTTTAGGGGCCGCTGGAGGATACGGTGGATACGGTAGATTTGGCGGAGGATTTGGTGGTTACGGTGGCTATGGAGGTCAGGGTGGATTGTAAGTTGAAGTTTTTGAAAAACTGTTTCCCCGGCAGATACGGTTTCTCAGTGATTTGCAGTGGGCCAAAAAATGACAAAGAAGAACCAGGCTTGTAATCGTTTCCGTTCCATGTCAATGTATCGACACTCACTGAACTGATCAGTACTTAATCAAAATTTCGGATTTTGAAAGTATTGCACAGAAATGAGTGAACTCATGATTAGCTTTGCTCTCGATAAAGCGTATGCTAGAAAACGACCTTCAGAATAATCTATGAGCTGAAAAGTTCACGCTTCTTAAGCTCGAAAATGATTCATATGCAATGTGGTGATATCCGCATATTGGCGTCATACTGTCATTTGCCACTATCAAAGGAAAAACTCTAACAATAAGTATTCAGGATCACTTTATTCATTGAGTTCTGAAAATATGCATATAATGTCGGATGTATAAATTCAGAGCGATTTTCAGATGTCCCGGTTCTTCCCTTTTCTATTATTACACGTGCTGTGAAGGAATGTATGGTGAATGTTGCTTCCACTTTGAAGGTTGGGTAATGTAAGTTTCCACTTTGAATTGAAACGTTAGAATATTTTTTGTCCGATCACATTTTCGAGGCATTGATCAGTTGATGTCATTAGTTTCAAGAGAAATACAATCACGAAAAAATGTCATAAGTTTGAAGTGCTCCAACAATTTCAGAATCCTCTTGATCCTGTTTCTTTTAATCGGTTTCATATGTTGTTGTGGATGCATTGCTGCTGCTGTTTATGCGTTCCGACGATCTTCTGCAGAAGATGATGAACAACCATGATCTAATATTTATATAACCAACCTATCGCACTGACACATCCATGAAATTATTACTTGAAATTTTACATTTATTGATGTTTTTTCTTTGTGTTCATACATTGATGCAGGATCAACTTTGAAATGAGAATCACCACTGCCGAATCCCACAGCTCAAGATGTTCCTCGTTCAGTTCGAGAAAATTAAAGATTCGCTCCAAATTCAGACAATTCACTGTTCATCAATGACAGACGCTCAAAAAGTGCATTACTGATCCTGTATCAATTACTTAATGAAGTCGTATATATGTATTGTCCTTTACAGGTTATTATTGTATATTGTTTTATGAGCGTTTGCATTCGGCCTGGGCAAGTTCTAATAAAAAATTCAAAAGCGGAATATGTGACCTTCTCTACATCAGTATACAAGCGCTATCAGAATTCAACGGCCACGGCATCAGCACACACACAGATGTTCTCGAAAAGCAGAGGATTTCTGATTGAACATCATGGAGCATTTAGCAGTGTCGCTTGTGCCATACGACCAATACACTTTTTTTTCAGGAAGTACCTAGCCATTAAGCGTTTTGATATGCAAATCAACAGAATGACATGCATCACTGTGAAAATCATACGATTCACTAGAGATAACATGCATGTGATCATGCAGCAATTTCGATCAAAGTGATTTTCAACAATCGATCAATCTTGCGAAGATTGCTAGCGTCATCACCCTTGTGTAATGTTGTCTATGTATGAGCATTAAGAAGCTTAAAATGAAACATTTTAATGCTATTGATAGAACATTAGCGTCGTGTGGCATCGTATTTATGGAAATGCTCTATGAGAACGCCTTTAATTATCGATGAATGCATGCATGCTTGCTTACAAGTTTCACTTTTACCTAGCAGCTAATGATACCTGAAAAAGCGATTGGCAGTGGGAGGTTCATTGCCATATCGCAGTCTGTAAGCGACATCAAACGATGATATGAATAAAAACGAACACGAGAATGAGAATAAATGAATGAGTAAATGAAAAGCGTATCAAAACGATGCTCTTATTCTCCATCTACATTTATTTGTCTCTAGCTGAATATGATAAAATTTATGGAGTGTGTGCGAGAAAACGGATGTGTGTTTGTGTGTATGTTTTTAAGCTAACGACTAATGATCTTGAATGCTAACTACTACTGCAGATAGAAGTCGGTCGGTATTTTACTCGACTGTTTCATAGCCTTACAGCAGCCAGCTGCAGCAGCACTAGTTTTAATTATGAGCCGTTGTAGCTGTTTGTTGTGCTGTTGCAATAAAACCAACAACTAGCAATGTTCACTAGCTGAGCATTTTATCGTTCGTTGTGCTGCTGCTGCTGCTTCACATCTAGTGCTCCACACACTACTTTATCAAGCCAGTTTCGCTCTCACAATCGCTTTTCGACGTTGTGATAGTATAGTATGCTTTTCATACTCGTTCCATACGGCAATCTCTTGAATGCATTTGTAAAAAGCGTTTTTGCTTGAAATTAGATGCTCTTGTTATTGTTGTTACTGCTGCTGCTGCTGCTGCTCCTTTATTATTAAGTTCTTTTTGGAAAATGAATAATTCATCTTAATCATTAGAGCATTTTCTGATGAATGCCAGTACTCTTTCGTATTAATATTACCAGGAAGAAGGTGAGACTTCATTCATCTATTCAATTTACCGAACTGAACGATTCACGATCGATTACTTTGGATCGTCCGTGATAAAACCCATTTATGGTGCGCTCGAATAATTTCACTAACAATAATAATACCGCAGAAATGTATAGTAATACAATTTTGCGTATTCTCCGATTCCATCGCATCTTCATAATGCCTTCACTTCGCGATATTTGTTTGATTATCAAGCGGAATTTGTGGAATTTTAACGTATTTCTGTGATCGTAAAAGCGAATCGTTCATGATCTTTGCTCCTTTGCTCGTTATATACTTGTCTTACTTCACAATATATTTGAGCGAAGTTTCACTGATTGAACATCTGAAAAGTCGATTCTGTTCGATCGAATTGACATTACAAATGCATCCTTCCATAAATACTTGCCTTTTATCTATGGAAATTATTTCATTCTTCAAAATTCTTCTTCACCAAAACTTATTGCATTTCTTGAGTCATATTATTTGCTTTCCAAAACGGAAACAAACAAGAATATTGATGCTCTTTATAGAATGCTCATATAATTGGATGATTCAAATGAACTACTGTTAACGAGTTATGAGTAATACCTTTTCCACTCTTTCAAGTGAACGTTAATGCAGAAATTGTTAATTTTGTTTTGAGACCTTCTCGTAAAGAAAAATAAGGCCAATATATCTTACATAAATGACTGGTGAAGTGAAAATTTAGCAGTTCTTAACGAAACATTCACAGTTCTGAACACTGACCTTGCTGCGTCATGAATTTTTCTAGAGCTGTTTGACAGTAAGCGAAATTTTCCTTTCATTGGTTTCAAGGAAATCGATCGAAACCTAATTATTTGATGAACGTTCAGCACAAACAAGGAAAGCTAGGGCGATAATTTACCTCAGAACAATAAGAAACTGTGATCGATTTTCTTGTTCTTGTACGATTTTCAGTTTTTAGCACTCACACCGCCTTCTGAGCAATGAATAAGTTGAATCATATCGCTGGTCAATTTGCACTCTTTGTGCTCCACTCGCAGTGCTTATATTCCAAAATAAAGCATGTATCTCGGGAGATCTTAAAAGCAGCCAGCACAAAAACATTAGCAATAACTCGCTTGACTGACAATCAACATTTCATTTCAAGAAGGTGATTATGAGAAATTAACCGGAAATCTGTTCTCGAAACGATGAAATCAATTTTGGAGTTAACTGATTGAACTGATGTCGGGAACGATCGTAATAGATCAATACAAGAAAATTATTTACTTTAGGAAATATAAACAGAACTGATCACTTTTACTTGAATTTACTTGAACATTTCTTTAAAGTGCTGAAATCGCAAAATTTAAATTTGAGTTTCCTCTCGTCGAATGTCACATTTACAATTATTGGTCGCATTTGTCATTCTCATGAGGCTGCGTTGTTTCAACAGTATTTTTGACAATGTTGTTAGCTCGGAGATC